GTCTACGTGGGGTGCATACAATGAGCAAGGATGACATTTAAATGCTAACAGTAGTTTTTCTGGGTGATGACATTCATTATGGATGATTTTTGGTTTATTTTATGACAAACAAGTGTTCCTTCTGAGCGTGCTTTTAAAATAAACACATTCATTAAACTTTAAAAAGAGAGAGAGAGAAGCTGGGGCCTTGAGAAGTTGACTTCACATTCATTAAATTTTAAAGGGAGAGAGAGAAAAGCTGACTTCACCTCTGTCCTTAGGAAATGCTTTTATTTGTTCAGAGTCAGGGCTTGCTTTCTCTCTGTGATGAAAGTCCTGCTTCTTACAAGGGTGAAAAGGAAAGTGCTGAAAAGAAGAGGGGGGGAACAAATCCGCCAGCCCTGGAGTCACAGAGACAGTCCACTTGAAATGGAGAAATGTTCGTTCAGCTGGCCACCCCACCCCCACCCCCAGGGGTCCTCCAGGCAGAGGAGCTCCTACCAAGGTCATCCCTGGGAGCCCAGCCCCCAGGCCAGGGTGGGAGTGTTCAGGAAGGGTCTGCAAGGTGCATGGTGGGTAGAGGAGGGAGGGCAGGAGGAACGGAAGCAGAGAGGAAGTAATAAAGGAATGATGGGGTTAATTAGTGGTTCCAAGGGACCTTGGGCTTCTCGTTACCATGGAGACAGCCAGGCGGCAGGAGGCAGGTAGGACCAAGGTTAAGGAGTGTGGGGCTGAGCAAGAAATGCCTGCCCTCCCCCCATTCCCACCTGTTCCTGCTAATACCAGTGAGAACAAGAAGAGAAGGTGGTGATGGGGGCGCCGAGCCAGGGACACCCCTCCCTGGGCACCTCCTCTCCGGATCAGACGCTGGTTGGTCTGCTCAGAGCCCTGTCCCCTGGCCATGCACCAGCCCACTTTCCAGCTCGCTCTGCAGAGAGACTCCATCCCCACGCTCCGGGGGGCCAGCCAGCCAGCCAGCGACGGGGTGGGGGCCTGCGTCAGCCTCTCCCGGGTCCCCTGCGGACCCAGCGTGGAGCAGACTCGTGGGGACAGACACCCCAGACACGCAGGATGCGGGCAAACACGGGGTAGAGGACGCTCAGTATTTAGAGCGGCTGAGGGAGTCAAAGGCACATTTCACGGGCGGGCGGGCGCCTGCATGAGATGGTTCCGGGCCGGGCACGCAGACGTGGCAGACTCCTGCAGGAGGGGAAGGGGCCCCGAGCTGCTCTCCTACCTGGGCTCTGCGGGGGAGAGCCTCTTGGGGGGCAAGTCGGAGGGGTGAGGGGTGGTGGCAGCTGCCTCAAGGGTCCCACCCCTGCTGATCCACTCGGCTCCCAGCAAGCCCACCCCACTTCCGCCAGAACGGCCTCCCCACTGGCCCAGGGAGCTTCCTACCTGCACGCAGTCCTGGCACCAGAGCCCAGTCCAAGCAGTCGCCCCCACCTGCCTTCCCAAGGCCCCTCTCCAGCGCCCCCTCCGGGGACAGGCTGGCAGGAACGGACACCCTCACCCTCCAGCTGGCGGTCTGGATCCTTCTCGTCCGGTTTGCGGTCCGTCCCCGGCCGGCCGCCTGCCGACACCCCCTCCCCCACCTCCCGACCAGGAGCCCTCCGCCCGGCCAGCCGGGTCGCCGGCAGGCTCTGGGCCGAGCCCAGGCAGCGCCGCCGCCGCGGTGACGGCCGCCCCCCTTCTGCGGAGCCGCCGCTGGGGAGGAAGCTCTGAGCCGTGCAGGGCCCCGCCGACGACTCAGCCACCACCGCGCGCCGGAGCTCGCCCGCAGGGGCGAAAACAAAAGCATTAATCTTCCCAGGAGGTTTTAGCATCCTCCACCACAGCCCTGCCTTTCTCCCGCCCTCACAGCCAAGGTGTGGACCAGGGGTCGCCCCACTCACACTGCCCAAACGCCCGGAGCCTGTGTTGGGTCCAGCGTCGAGTATCAGTCGGGGAGCTGACAGGCAGACTGAACTACGACCACAAGCAGACGGGTCCCTCCCTGCCCTCCGAACCCGATCCATCAGGGGAGACCCCCCACCCCACCCGCTACCCCGAGGGCCACCACTGAGCTGGGGGGGGCGTCCTGTAGGGTCCCCCGAGGAGATACTGGCTCGCTCTGAGGATGGGGGCACTCGGCAGGCACAGGGCGGGTTCAGCACAGGGAGAGGCCGGGAGGCCCCAGGGTCCGGGTCAGGAGCGTCCCTCCCACGGGCCAGGTGAGGAGCATCCCACCCACACACCTGCAGTAGCAACGTGCCGGCCACGGAGTCCGAGAGGCCCCCGCTCAGGGCATCGGGCGGCACTGAGGTGGCACTGAACCAGAACAGCACCATCCAGTGGCTCCACAGGGAGAGGCTGGGGGTCGGGGGTTGGGGGGCGGGCGGCCTGGCTGGGCAGCGTGGGTTCAAGTGGGCTCGGCCCCGTGTGGCGGTGGCCGCTGGCCCAGCACGTATTCTCCCAGACACAGAGATGGGCCTGTGGGAGGTGAGGAAAGCGTGGCCTGGGGAGGGAGGTGGGGGGGGCTGGATGGGGGAGGGTCAGCATCCCATGGAGACACCTGACTGTGGAGGGAGGAGAAGCCAGAGGGGGGACGGGAGCTGTTCATGGAGCCACTGGGGGGATGCCTTGGGAGGTGGAGCCCCCCAGGGAGGAAGGGGGCTGCAGGGTCAGGCCCCAGAGGAGGTGGGGATGGGGGGAGGATGCCTTGTGAGAGGGGAGGTGTGGCCCCTCCCCCAGGGAGGAAGGGGGCTGCAGGGTCAGGCCCAGAGGAGGCAGGGGTGGGGGGAGGGTGCCTTGTGAGAGGGGAGGTGTGGCCCCTCCCCCAGGGAGGAAGGGGGCTGCAGGGTCAGGCCCCAGAGGAGGTGGGGATGGGGGGAGGGTGCCTTGTGAGAGGGGAGGTGTGGCCCCTCCCCCAGGGAGGAAGGGGGCTGCAGGGTCAGGCCCCAGAGGAGGTGGGGATGGGGGGAGGGTGCCTTGTGAGAGGGGAGGTGTGGCCCCTCCCCCAGGGAGGAAGGGGGCTGCAGGGTCAGGCCCAGAGGAGGCAGGGGTGGGGGGAGGGTGCCTTGTGAGAGGGGAGGTGTGGCCCCTCCCCCAGGGAGGAAGGGGGCTGCAGGGTCAGGCCCCAGAGGAGGTGGGGATGGGGGGAGGGTGCCTTGTGAGAGGGGAGGTGTGGCCCCTCCCCCAGGGAGGAAGGGGGCTGCAGGGTCAGGCCCCAGAGGAGGTGGGGATGGGGGGAGGGTGCCTTGTGAGAGGGGAGGTGTGGCCCCTCCCCCAGGGAGGAAGGGGGCTGCAGGGTCAGGCCCCAGAGGAGGTGGGGATGGGGGGAGGGTGCCTTGTGAGAGGGGAGGTGTGGCCCCTCCCCCAGGGAGGAAGGGGGCTGCAGGGTCAGGCCCCAGAGGAGGTGGGGATGGGGGGAGGGTGCCTTGTGAGAGGGGAGGTGTGGCCCCTCCCCCAGGGAGGAAGGGGGCTGCAGGGTCAGGCCCCAGAGGAGGCGGAGGGCTCAGACCAAGAACAGGTGAGAGAGGGTGTGAGCTGGAGGAGGGACAGAGCCTTGACCGGGAAGCTTCGCAGAGAGCCCTTAGGGACCTTGGCCTCTCCGGGGTCAAATCTCAGACAAGGTCACTGTGGCAGGCAGGCAGGGCTGGGAGGGAGGAGCAGCCCTGGGAGGGTGGAGCTTGGAAGCTCCGAACAGTCTTTGCTGCCCTGCGGCAGGTGGGGCTCTCCTAGGGGAATTCTCCAGAAGCCTCAGTCCTGCAGCTGGGTTGGGTGGGAGGGGGCTGACTGTCCAGAGCAGGATCTGCAGCAAAGGGCTGGGTGAGGAGAGAGGCCTGGGACGAGGGGCGCCAGGTAAGGTGTCGTGGGGCTTCGGGGAAGGACGCAGCATCCGTCCACATTCAGAGGATGTGGGTACGGACACTCAGCCTGCTCAGCACCCAAGAAGACACAGGTGTCTGGCAGATGGGACAGCAGCCATCTCATCGTGTGACCATCTGCCCAGCTGCGTCAGAAAAACACGAAGACCCCAGAGCATAAGCAGGCAACACCGATGAAAGATAACTGCAATGCAAGAACTCTGATTGGCTGACCCCAGCGTATAAGCAGGCAACACTGATGAACGGTAACCGAAATGCAAGAAGAACTCTGATCGGTTAAAAATGACGTAACAGCACCTCTAGGGGTGGAAGGGGGGCACGTGACAGAGAGGTTCACATCCTCACTTGGCGCAGAATTTCATAAAGATTACACCCAGGGTGGGAGCTCAGAATAAACTTTTTGGAGAGCGCCTTATAACTTTCAAGAACCTGAAAACGATCACAGCTGCTGACTCAGTCTCTACACGTCCGTGAACTAACCTTCAGGAAAACTAGAAACCAGGCAATAAAAAAGACGTTCATCTCAGTGTTATTTATCATGTCCAAAGGATGGAAAGCAGTGCTGTGTCCAACAACGAGTGATAAGCTTACACATTTCCGGTCTAGTCCTGTGATGAGACATGGTGCCCGTGAGACAGACACCGTCACAGAGGACAGCAGGGCGTACAACTCCATCTATAGGAAACGCCCAGAACTGGAAACTCTACAGAGACCACAAGTAGACAGGTGCTGCCATGGGCTCAGGGTGTGGGGGAGAAACAGCTAAGGTGTACAGGCTCACTTTTAAAACCCCCAAGCCTCAGATTCCCATCTAGAGGCCAAAGGGCTGAACCCAGATCACAAGTCCTTCCCACCTCTGTCAACTTGTAAAGGGCAGAGCTGAGAGACGGTGGCAGGGAAGGCTTGCTGGAGGAGGCAGCACTCACTGAGCAGAGCCTGGAGCGTGTCCTCTGGCGGAGCTAGGAGGGAGAGGGAGGCAGAGGCTTAGGGGCATGGATCCTGCACAAAGGCCCTTTCGGATGCTCTCGGTTAAGTCCTTCCGGGGCAGGCAGGTACCAGGGCCCACGGCAGGACTTAGCTCAGAGCGGCAAGTGCTGTGCTCAGGATGGCGGAAACTGCGGGGCGGCCCCGCCTCCAAGCTGGCCTCCTCACCTCCAGCACGTGTCCCGTGATGTACTTCTCACAGCCGTCGCAGCGGATCCCGAACTTGGTGTGATAGTCGGCCTCGCAGTAGGGCAGCCCATCCCTGCAACAGAGCCGGCAGTCAGGATGGGCGGGGGCACCCCGAGGACCCCAAGGCCCGACAGTCCTCACCAACGAGAGGGGCTGTGTCCAAGGGGCAGACGCCCACTGCCTCCTACTTGGGATAACAGCGGGCCCTTGGACAGCGTGAGCTGAGCACCCCTCAGTCACCCTAGCAGCCCGACGAGAAATACCACAAAGATCGTCCCATTTCACAGGTGGAGAAACCAAGGTACAAGAGCTGGGGCCGCCTGCCCAGGGGTGAGCAAAGGGCTGGCGGAGGGCTCCAGAGAGCCCAAGGAACCAAAGCCACGTCTGGGAAATAAAAGAAGTTTCCGCAGACGCGATTCTTCATTCCAGTTCGTTCTGTCCAACGCTCAACATCCGGGTGGGGTGTGAAATGGTCTATTTCCTCATTGAGTGGCTTCCTGTTCCTTCTGGGGCATCTTTACAAGCCGACAAGGGGGTCTGACAAAGCTGCCCACGTCATAGACCAGGACTGGGGCTGACAAGATCCAAGCGGGGCAGGTAGGCCTTAGGACTGACCCTCACTGTCCCCGGGCGTGGCCCTGACCTTCCGCTGCTCGGGAAGGAGCTGGGGGACCACACAGCAACGCGTTCACGCTGCCCGAGCGCGGGGGCCAACTCTGTGTGGGGCGTGGCTTGTGGCTTTGGGGATTACAGCCGAGAGGGGAGTCCTGCTGAGCGCTGCTCCTGAGTATTGATCCGGGCAGCTGTGGGCGGGCCGCTCAGACGCTGGGCTCCCTGCACTGGGCGGCAAGAACACAGCTGGCCTGCGGGTGTCGAAGGACGGGAACGCAGGCACGGGCCTGAACAGCGTGTGGTTGTAATTATCACGATGAGGTCGACCCAGCGGGGCACGTGGCAGTGATGGGTGTCAGGACAGTGCCAGCACTCCATGTGGGTGGGGGTGGGTGGGGCTGGGCAGTGGTGACTGGATAGGCTGGCACTCAGATGCCCAGTCCCAGTGGTCACTTAACCTGCCTGGGCCTCAGCTTCCTGTCTGTGAAGCGGGGGTCGTAAGAGCATGGTCTGTGTATGACAAGGGGTGGCCAGCGCCTGGCACTCGGCGCCTAGCCCACCAGTGACTGAGGCCACTGTCATTGCCAACCAGGACGGTGCCCCTGGCCCAGGCCCGGTCCATCAGGAGTCGGATGTGGAGGCGGCTGGCACGGAGGGTGGTGATGGGGGCATCTGGTCCGTCTCCCCCCAGCACTGCCGATGTGTTGCTGTGTCATCACTTGGGTCTTAATTTCTGCTCAGCTGCCAACAGAAGGTAAGGCTTCTCGAGCTGTCAGGAGAAGGAGCTGATGGCACCCTCTTTTCCTCAAACTCGGGACCTTGTCTGGGTCCCACAGATGCTGGCAGGAGTGGATGGACCTGGGGCGGGGTCCCGGTGCTTCTCGCAGTCCCAGTGAGAAAGCAGTCCTTCCTTGCACAGGCGATGGAACACGTCAATTGGGCCCCTAGGGTCCACCTTCAAATGGCCTGACCTCAGGGCCCTAATCACGGCCCCCCAAAAAGGTTGCACATGCAGCAAACCCAGGAGGTTCAAAGATAACATCTCCATGGCAACCCCAAGGCCCCTCCTCGAGAGTTCCGGAGGCTGCTAAGTACCACGCACACTGTGTGGGTGAGCTGCTGCACTCAGGGGGCTGGGAAGCAATTTATTTTAAGTGCTCCGTCCCCAAGGCTGCCTCTGCGTGTCACTCACTCCTCCTTACTATGAAACAGGCAGCAGAAACTCACCCAGCCTGACCCAGCCTGGACAGAGGCTCATCTTGGTTTCCCTGGCAACGCTTGATTTTGAGATAACTGTGGGTCCAAATGCATTTTTAAGAAGCAGTACAGAGAAACCCAGAGAGCCTTCCCCAGAGTTCCCCAAAGCTCACACACCTTACAGAATTAGGGGACAAGGTCCACCAGGAAACCGATGCGGGTACACGCAGTGACCGGATTCCCCCGGCGTACACGCACCTCTTACGGACACGTGCACGCATGTACATATGTGTGCTTCAGTCTCTGCAGTTTTATTGCAGGAATTTTTTTTTAACCCAATCAAATCCTGTGATGGTTCTGGTCCCCCAGAGCATCAAGAAGCAGCGCAGCCTTTGATAGAAGTTGTCCCAAACGCCCCTGACTGGCAGGAGACAGTCGCTCTGCCCTCACAGGCGCTGCTCCGCGAGCTCAGTCCACGACCCTTCCTTCCCCTGTGCCGTAGAGAGGCTCTCGTCCCCAGGGTCTCTGGGGATTCGAACACAGCCCCCTCCTGGCCAACCAGCAGGGGCTCGGCCCCGATCTGCACAAGCTCCCTCCCCACGCACCCCAAACCAGCAAGCCCTGTACCCTGAGCACCCGCCAGGGACCCCGCGGTAGCACCATGGCAGAGGACAGCTGCACCTGGGGCTCCGGAGCCCGTCAGGCCTCCCTGACTGCAGCCTCGGCTGACCCCCACGATGTGCTGGCGGGGATCCTGGAACCAGCGAGGGCGGCAGATTCCATAGGGAGGGCGACCCCCAGGGACGGCGCTGGGAGGATCGCCACAAGGTCAAAGGAAGAGCGCTAAACGCCTCGGCTCAACAAACAGAAGTGACCGTCTCTGCATCAGGGAAGCCAGGGTGGAGGCGGGGGAGGGCAAGCGCTTTGGGCCAGACAGGCCACGTCCTGGCGTCCTGGCGGGGCTCGCCTTGCAGACGTGGGGTGGGGGCTGAGAGGCAGAGAGTGCAGGGTGGACACCGGAGGAGCCCCGCCCCATTCCACACCGCAGTTGGGCCGGCCCCGCCCACCCACTTGATTAGGGTGCACACCGGGGAGCCCCGCCCCTTCCAAGCCGGAGGGGGGCCGGCCCCGCCCACTCACTTGCTGATGTACTCCGCATTCAGCTGTTTGCCACAGGTCTTGCACTTGAAACAGCCCAGGTGCCAGTGTTTGTCCAAGGCCACCAGGGACTGGCCGTTCTTGATCTCGGCTCCGCAGCCCCCGCAGCCTGGAAGAAAGAACGGAGCACAGACGTCATCCTTCCGGGCGAGGGGCGTGGGGCTGGGGAGGGGGGCCCGCCGCGCTGCGACGTCAGGCAGGAGCCACGTGGGGAGGGACAGCGGGTGGGACAGAGGGGACCGTCCAGCGTTGAAGGAGGACGCTATTACACGACAGCCGATGTGACCATGTGGAAAACAAACCCTGAAGCTCATTCCTGCATGCATTGAGCGCTGACTGCACGCAGCTTAGGCCACGAGCCAGAGATACCGGGAAGAATGGATGGAGGCCCTGCCTTCCGGAGATGGGCTTCCAGGCCTCGGCAAGCAGATGGACCTGGACAGGGGCCCTTTGCACTGGGGGCTGTCCCCAGAGGGAGGGTCCCTGGGCGGCAGGGTTCCGTGACGGCAGGAGCTCTGGCGGCCCCTCTGCTGTCCTCTGTTGGTGGGTGGACTCTTACCCTAACCGTGCCCCCTAAGGAAAGGCGCAGAGACATAGAGGCGGAGGGCCCCAACGCCTGACCTCCAAGCGCTCGCCTGCCAGAATGCACCTTCCAGGAGGCCCTCCAGCCTGGCCTCTGAGCTCCTCTGTGCCACATCTCGGACGCCAGACACTCTGACCTCCCCCTGCCCTCCGGGTCTGGGTCGCAGCCCAGGGTGGAGCCTGGCCCCTGGCAGTGCCTTGGTCCCCAGGTGACTGGTGCCCTCCCACCCTCGGTTCGCAGCCTGCTCTGGGCTCCTGGTCGCCCCCCGCTCTGCCCCTCCAGCCATGCCCATCCCTGATCAAGCCACCCTGGGCCCTCACCTAGTAGGTGACCCTGGGCACACACACAGACTGTGCCAGTCTTAACCAGGGCCGTTTTGCTCCCCAGGGCTTTTGGCAACGTCTAGAGCCAGTTCTGACCATCCCAGCTGGGTGGGGAGGGGTGCTCCCGAAGCCTGGAGGCCAGGGATGCTCTGCACACCCTCCAGGGCACAGGTCATCCCTGCAACAATGAATCATCCGGCCCCAAACGTCAACAGTGCCCAAGTCAAGAAAGCCTGCTTGGAGCCTCGGTTTGGGTCTCCCCAAGTGGGTGAAGCAAAGGGGCCTCCTGGACCGTGCCAGACAGACCTGGGAGGAGGCAGACCACTGGCAGTGGCTGGAAACACGGTCCTCGGAACCAGGCTGCCCCCCAAGCTGTGTGACAGTGACCGAGTCGCTTCACCTCTCTGTGCCCGCTAAAACACGGACGCACTTCATGGGGATGATAAAGGAACCAGCCTCACACAGTTGTCAGGGGGTGAAGAGGAGTAACAGAGGCCCGTGGGTTGGAAGATGCATTTGATAGATGAATAAGCGCGTGTGTACACTGGAGTTACCCCTGCTACTGCTGAGAGGAAGCCCTGGGGAGAGTCACGTCTTCTTTCTGCCTCCGGCCGCGTCAGTAGCGCACCCTCCCCCAGGGCAGGGTCTGAGGCTCAGGCCAATGTGCCAACTGCAGCTGCTGGGGGACGTGCCCCTCACTCATCCCCCCTGAATTCGAGGTGCAGTCTCATTAACAGTGAGCCGTGAACACGGAGGCCAGAGCAAGTGGCAAGGACCATTGTCATGGAGATGGCAGTCATCCTTTTCTAGAAACATCTGGAGCTCAGCATGGGTTCCCACCACTTTGCCAGCGACAGTGGAACCTTGGGTGAGGAATCCAGTTGACAACTGCTGTCAGTGAGTTCCCGCTGTCCTTGACGGAGTGCACCCCCACAGCCCAGGGCAGAGGTCACTGGGGTAGAGGTCACCTGGAACATGACCAAAGCCCACTGCCCACTCACTCTTGCAACCTGGACCTGGCTCTGCCATCACAGCAGCAGGATGGGCCTGGGCCCCTTCCCCAGTGTGACCTTCTAGAATCTTCCAGTTTCCTTATTTCAAGTGCCCTCTCCTCTGCCAGACCTGGTCACGGGTTCAAGGCCCGGCCCTGTCACTGACAGGGTGCCTGAGACTAAGGACGTGCTGGGGGCCTCTGAGCCCCAGCTGGGACTTGGGGCGAGAGTGGGGTGAAGCCCAGTGTCCCCTCAGATCTATCCGGGTCAGGGAGCTCTGAGTCGAATCAGAGGGTGACCTTTGATGACAAGGAACCAATTGGGTTCTAATTCTTAAAAGTGCCTGAGAAATTATGGGCTCGACCTGGGATTTCTCCAAGGAACTGGACTGCGTGGGAGGAGCTGTGAGCAGCCGCTGGGAGAGATAAAGCATGTTCAAGTGCATCTGTCTAGTCAAGGCTACAGCTTTTCCAGTGGTCATGTATGGATGTGAGAGTCAGACTATAAAAAACACTGAGCGCCGAAGAATTGATGCCTTTGAACTGTGGTGTTGGAGAAGACTCTTGAGAGTCCCTGGGACTGCAAGGAGATCCAACCAGTCCATCCCAAAGGAAATCAGTCCTGGGTGTTCACTGGAAGGACTGATGTTGAAGCTGAAACTCCACAACACTTTGGCCACCTGATGTGAAGAGCTGACTCATTGGAAAAGACCCTGATGCTGGGAAAGATTGAAGGCGGGAGGAGAAGGGGGTGACAGAGGATGAGATGGTTGGATGGCATCACCGACTAAATGGACATGAGCTTGAGTAAGCTCCAGGAGTTGGTGATGGACAGGGAGACCTGGAGTGCTATAGTCCATAGGGTCGCAAAGAGTTGGACATGACCGAACTGAACTGAAGTGCATCCCACCCTCCCCCAGGCCATGACTGCAATGTGGTGGGGGTGGGGCAGGAGGGATGTTGGTTCCGGGCACCCCAGAAGGCAGCTGCTGCACTCCACCAGGCAGCCAGCGTGCCTGCTCCTCCCCTGGGACCCGGTCCCCCCCTTATCTTTCCATATTACCCCTCATTAAACCTCACCCCATTTCCAGAAGGGGGGGCTGAGGCTCCGGCCCCATCACCAACCCCTGATCACATGAACAGAGCAATGTCACGTGAGCAGAAGACACAGAGGAGTCCAGGGCCTCTGCCCAGGTGGTGAAGGCCCACCCCACCTGTAGCCCCTCATCAGCACACACCCTGCAGAGGCCCCAGTGCCAGGGCCCCGCCCCTCCCACCGCCCCCTCCCGCCCTCTCCCCGCCCCCTCTCGCCCCTCCCGCCCCTCTCCCCGCCCCCTCTCGCCCCTCCCGCCCCTCCCACCGCCCCCTCCCGCCCCTCTCCCCGCCCCCCTCCCGCCCCTCTCCCCGCCCCCTCTCGCCCCTCCCGCCCTCTCCCCGCCCCCTCTCGCCCCTCCCGCCCCTCTCCACGCCCCCTGCCTCTAGTGGCCTCCAGGTCCTCTATCTCAGGGGGACCCCAGGTTCCGGGTGTGACCCCATCCTGGCTGGAACCACGGGGGCTCCTCAACGTGGACAGAGCTGCCCCGTCCAAGGCCCCAGATTCCCACCTCCTGGCTGCCCCCACCCCAGGCTGCCCCTCCAGGCCACCACCCACACCCACTACTGACCCAATGTCCATCCCCAAGGCCCAGAGCGGGGATACCGCTCACCCAGGGCACACAGGTGGTGAGAGGCAGGGTCCATTCCATGCAGCCTGGCCTCAGAGCTGCCTCTCAACTGGCGTGGCACTGGGCCTCTGTGAGCCAAGCCAGGAATGCTCCACACACCCTCCATGAACACAGGTCACCCCCACAGCAAAGAATCATCAGGTCCCAAAGGTCAACAGTGCCCAAGTCAAGAAAGCCTGCTTGGAGCCTTGGTTCTGGTCTCCGTATGTGGGCAAAGCAGAGAAGCCTCCCGGACTGTGCCAGGAGGCTGTGACCAGCTCCAACCAGCCACCAGTTCAGAGCTGGAGAGTTAGGGGGCAGCCTGGAAAAGGGGAGCCTGGGTGGAAGCAAAGGGGTGTCCTCCCAGGCAGTGGGAGAGGCAGCCCAGGGCGGAGCATGGTGGAGGCTCAGGCAAGAAGGGAGGTGCTGGACACTCAGAGGGAGGGGCGCATCCCTGCCCGTGGAAGGCGTGGGCGCCCAGCCAGAAGCAGGGATCCTGTTACTAAGCAACAGGCTCAGGCCAGAGAGCGGGAGGTTCAGGGCCCTGGGACCCAGCAAGACTCCCACTGGAGGAGCTGGTCACTCTTACTTCCCCAGGGAAGGCAGCCTGCAAAGGTGGCCACCTGCAGCCTGGGCAGGAAGGACAGGGGGCAGGAAGGACGGGGGGTGGGGAAATGGCTAGGGGGGCAGGAAGGACGGGGGAGCAGGAAGGATGGCGGGGCAGGAAGGACGGGGTGCAGGAAGGATGGGGTGCAGGAAGGACGGGGTGGGGAAATGGCTGGGGGGCAGGAAGGATGGGGTGCAGGAAGGACAGGGGGCAGGAAGGACAGGGGGCAGGAAGGACAGGGGGCAGGAAGGACGGGGTGGGGAAATGGCTGGGGGGGGCAGGAAGGACGGGGGGGCAGGAAGGACGGGGGAGGAGGAAGGACGGGGGAGGAGGAAGGACGGGGGGGCAGGAAGGACGGGGGCAGGAAGGACGGGGGGCAGGAAGGACGGGGGGCAGGAAGGACGGGGGAGGAGGAAGGACGGGGGGGCAGGAAGGGAAGGGGGCAGGAAAGACGGGTGGGGAAATGGCTGGGGGTGCAGGAAGGACGGGGGGGCAGGAAGGACGGGGGGGCAGGAAGGACGGGGGGCAGGAAGGACGGGGGGGGCAGGAAGGACGGGGGAGGAGGAAGGACGGGGGGGCAGGAAGGACGGGGGAGGAGGAAGGACGGGGGGGCAGGAAGGACGGGGGGGGCAGGAAGGACGGGGGGGGCAGGAAGGACGGGGGGGCAGGAAGGACGGGGGAGGAGGAAGGACGGGGGGGCAGGAAGGACGGGGGGCAGGAAGGACGGGGGGCAGGAAGGACGGGGGGGCAGGAAGGACGGGGGGCAGGAAGGACGGGGGGGCAGGAAGGACGGGGGGCAGGAAGGACGGGGGGGCAGGAAGGACGGGGGGGGCAGGAAGGACGGGGGGGGGAGGAAGGACGGGGGGGCAGGAAGGACGGGGGGGCAGGAAGGACGGGGTGGGCAGGAAGGACGGGGGGGCAGGAAGGACGGGGTGGGCAGGAAGGACGGGGGCAGGAAGGACGGGGTGGGCAGGAAGGACGGGGGGCAGGAAGGACGGGGGGCAGGAAGGACAGGGGGCAGGAAGGACGGGGTGGGGAAATGGCTGGGGGGGGCAGGAAGGACGGGGGGGCAGGAAGGACGGTGGGGCAGGAAGGA